CATCCACAATGGTGAGGTGGATGCGCCCTGGGCGTGTATCCGAAGCATCACTTTTGCTGTCCTGGGAGGGGTCTGTGGGTCAGGGAGGGGTCTGTGGGTCAGGGTCATCTGAGGAGGAAGCAGATGAAGGGAGTTGTGCACGGGAACTTTTATTTAAGATTTAAGGTTTTTTTGTTTCAAAGGTCCTCATGGCTCAGCAGCAGAAGCATAAATATTGTTAAGAAAGCTGATGATAAAGTTGAATAAAAATCTAAGTCTGATTATGAAAGTAAATTAAATATCTGACAGTGATCATTACACAGTGTGGCTCTAATTCCTCACTTCACCATCTGTGTCGCAGTTTCATGTCTCCAAAATGAGCGTACGCATGGGTCAAAGCTGGCGTGAGGCACCGCACATTTTCACATCAAGTTTGGATTTTATAAATCACAACCTTGGCGTGAAAAGTGGTGTACGCAAGTTTCTGGGCTCAAATTGTGCGTACGCCAGTTTTATAAATCCGACCCCAGACCTGTTGATTTCTTTATGTGTTTCTTTATTTATGTGTTGGGTTTCTCGGGTTTTATAACTCAGGCGACAAGTTTAACACCTTGCTGTGTGAAGTCTTCTGCTCCTTGTAGCCTCGCTGTTCCACCTGCCCTGCTCTCATTCATGTACTCTGCCATGCCACAGATTTTCCTTCCTCTTCTTTCAAATGCCTACCCCCAAAATAAAATAGCTAAACTCAAACAATGCTGTTTTATTCATATCTTTCTAAAGTCTGCAAGAGTTACAACCGATTCAAAGTGAACTCAGAGTAGAAATCTCTCAGAATTGCACCTCATGTCAGATCAGATCTCTTGTTTTCTGTGTTTTAGTAAATGAAGTACTCACGTTCAGGTTTTATGTTTCTTTTTTTATGCCAGAGAGTCAAATGTTTTGAGGTGTGAAGAGCAGCAGGTCAACTGGAATCAATACAATCGTAAAGGCCAGAACAACAACAATAACAACAACAATAACAGCAGACAGAAAAAGATGCTTCCTTTGTGGGACACTGCTAACCCTGCTCTGTGTGAAAACATGCACCTCTGCAGGTAGGAGATTTTTATGCGTTTTTACCTGAATTAAAAAAAAACATTTTTACATGTAAAAAAAAATAAACAGAGTATAATTTTTATCTTTCCCAGATGTCAACAGCAGTACACCCACAGTTGTTCACCCTGCACCTACAGCCACCCACCATCACTTGCTGCTCTTCCTGGACACATCCACCCCCAGCTTCTCTTACCCCGAAATCTGGACTCTTCCTGTCCACCGAGGTACCCAGGACCACCTCTGTCCTCCTGTCAGACTCCCAGCTCAGGCCTCAGGTCTGGATCGTCGTGGCGGTACGGAGGAGAGCACAGCAGCTCGTCAGAACTGATGACAGACGAGTCCATCAGGAAGAATAAAAACTCAAACAGGACCCCCAAAGACATTTCCATAAAGATCATATCGGTGTGAGGACACAGAGAGAACAAACTTCAAGATTTATGTAACTGGGCCAAAATGTCAATCTTCTGTTTCTGTGAAAAAAAACGTCTCTTTGACAAATATTGTTAAAAGGTTTCAGTCAGGACACATAAATCTGAAAGTTACGGCTTTGAGCGGATTGTGATGCCACACTGCTACCTGGTGGACAAAAGCAGTCATTGCACTTTAATCAGATTTCTACCTGATTGTTTACCTGTTAAATAGTTTACTGATTCATTTACATCAAACTGTTATCGAGTGTGAAATGTTGATATTCAGTGGCAGCAGAAAAAATGTAAATGTGAATTTTAAACAAAAAATAATAAAAAAATAAAATTATTTCTACTACAATTAAAGGTCTAAAAAATTCCATTGAGGAAATGCTTATGACCTGCCGCCTTTCATTATGATGCCATAGTTTGACATTAACATCATCTATATTAAGAAAAGAGAGCTGTAGTTATTTTTGTCAAATCTTGATAACATGATGCACAGACTCAAAAATACTGTAAAGTATACAGCGAGTAAAATAAGTATTGAACATGTCAACATTTTTCTCAGTAAATATATTACTAGAGGTGCTAATGACATGAAATTTTCACCAGATGTTGGTAACAACCCAAGTGATCCATACATACAAAGAAATCAAATCAAAAATGTCCAGAAATGAAGTTATTTGTAATAATGTGGAATGGCACAGGGAAAAAATATTGAACACATGAAGAAAGGGAGGTGTAAAAAGGCATGGAAAGCCAAGACACCAGCTGAACTCTCTCAGTAATTAGAAAGCAAGCCTGCCCCTTGTCAGTGCAAGTTAATATCAGCTGGTTCAGTCCCAAATGATGGCCAGGTATCACACAAGAACCATCTGATGATGGGTAAAAGTAAAGAGCTCTCTCAAGACCTTCACAACCTTATTGTTGCAAAGCATAATGATGGCATCGGTTACAGAAGAATGTCTAAACTTCTGAAGGTTCCAGTGAGCACTGTTGGGGCCATAATTCAGAAGTGGAAAGAACATCATTTCACCATAAACTGACCACGACCAGGTGCTCCTCACAAGATTTCTGACAGAGGAGTGAAAAGAATGATCAGAAGTGTTGTCCAAGAGCCAAGGACCACTTGTGGAGAGCTTCAGAAAGACCTGGAATTAGCAGGTACGATTGTTTCAAAGAAAACAATAAGTAATGCACTGAACCACCATGGCCTGTATGCACGCTCACCACGCAAGACTCCACTGCTGAAGAAACAGCATGTTGAAGCTCCTTTAAAGTTTGCTGCACAACATTTAGACAAGCCTGTGTAATACTGGGAGAATATAGTCTGGTCAGATGAGACCAACATTGAACTGTTTGGATGCCAGAATACACATCATGTTTGGAGGTCAAATGGCACTGCACATCAGTCCAAAAACACCATACCAACAGTGAAGTTTGGAGGTGGGAACATCATGGTGTGGGGCTGTTTTTCAGCATATGGTACTGACAAACTTCAAATAATTGAAGGAAGGATGAGTGGAAAAATGTACAGAGACATTCTTGATAAAAATCTGCTTCCATCTACCAGGATGATGAAGATGAAACGTGGCTGGACATTTCAGCAAGACAATGAGCCCAAACACAAAGCCAAGGAAACTCACAGTTGGTTTCAGAGAAAGAAACTAAAGCTGCTGGAATGGCCCAGCCAATCACCTGACCTGAATCCAACAGAAAATCTATGGAAAGAACTAAAGATCAGAGTTCATAGAAGAGGTCCACGAAACCTTCAAGATTTGAAGACTGTTTGTGTGGAAGAATGGGCCAAAATCACACCTGAGCAATGCATGCCACTAGTTTCTCCATACAGGAGGCATCTTGAAGCTGTCATTGACAACAACGGCTTTTGTACAAAAGTATTAGACAAATTTCAGTAAGTGTGTTCAATACTTTTTCCCTGTGCCATTCCACATTATTACAAATAACTTCATTTCTGGACATTTATGGTTTGATTTCTTTGTATGTATGGATCACTTGRGTTGTTACCGACATCTGGTGAAAATTTCATGTCATTAGCACCTCTAGTAATATATTTACTGAGAAAAATGTTGACGTGTTCAATACTTATTTTACCCGCTGTAGTATCCTATAACTTGGTATAAATGTCAAGTTTAAAGTATGTGTCGGGTTGACTTTGAGCTACTACCACATCAAATTTTAGCTTGATGTCTGTGTGAAATACACTAAGTTATAGCTCCATAGGATAAATTTGGTTAGCTGTGGTGTCCATTTTGAATTGGATTGTCTCCAAAAGGTAATCAGCTGTAAATGAACATCCAATGATAATTTCCTGAAAGTTTCAATAAAATTCGTCCGGGGGCTCATGAGATATTTTGCTAACAGACAAGTGAAAACACACACGTGGCCAGGGGGGTGGGGGTCAGTCCGGAGGGAGGGACCGAAGCGCAGACCGGACCGTTTCACCGGGGGAAGTTTACTTCAGGCTGTCCTGTCTGTCCGAGCCGGCAGCTCTGACAATGAAGGGTAAGATAGTTTCATTTGTCGCTTTCAGTGGATATTTGCGCGCTGCGTCGGTGCGCCTCTTTATTCTTGTGTTCGCTGGTTAAATCAGCTGAATCAGGTGAGAAATTATTTCCTCAATTTCATTTAATATCAAATAGGCGTTCTGCGTTATTATGATCCAGTTTTTATGCTCTGAACTGAAGAAATTATTGGCTGGATACATTTTGAAACAGTCATGTCTTCAAGCAGATTGTGAGTGTTTTGTTTGTCACTGATCACCTGCAAAAGTTGACTTTCACTGTTGAAATGGCCTTAAAGAAGACTGAGCCTGAAAATAACGTCACTCTGCTAAACATGGTAATAAACCTCTTAGTCATGTATTTTCAGAACAGGGCTAATGCTGAGACTGTTGAAGCTCTGCAGGGTCACTGCCTGTTTAAACACACTCACACACAAACAGTCACACACAAACACGCACACACAATTATGCACACACCAGGGTCTAGATTTCCTATGGGTCAGGTTTTGTCTGTGGAGCAGAGTGGATGTTTTTTTTTTTTTTTTTTAAGTTATGGTGTCTCTTTAACCCTCCAGGCACTGAAGGCTACGATGAGCAGCTCCGGATGGACGCCTGCTTCCTGTGCTCCCAGCAGAGCATGGACTCAGACCTGGTGGACAGAGTGGTGCTGCAGCTCAACAGGATCTACCCCCAGATACTCAGTGACAAGGAAGCCTGCAAGGTCACTACAGACAGATCCCATGAACATTTCACTGGTTTCATGTTTTTGGACCAGGTGGCACGGTGACTAAGTTGTTGCCTCTCAGCAAGAAAGGTTGCCGGATCAAATCCTGGCCAGAGACCTTTCTGGGTAGAGTTTTGCATATTCTCTCTGTGCATGCGTGGGTTTTCCAGCCCTGTTGAGAAGGGTCAGAGTGGTTTAAAAATAAAGATCTTGTCAGTCACACTATAAGGTTTTGAACAGCTTATGTTGACTTTTGAAAATACTGTTATGGTTAAATTAGATATTTGATCTAATCATCAGCATGTGTACATTCAGGAGAGGCTCCCAGTACATTTATTTTTATTCCATCTTCACTGTAGACGTCTTCAGTGTTGGGAAAAACAAGTTGTCTAAAGCAGTGGTTCTCAAACCTTTTGGGTCAGGGGACCCCTTGCAAGGGCGAAAAAAATTCAAGGGACCCCTTCATAAACCCCATGCTGTTTTAAAAGATAATTGATTGTCATTTCAACCCCTAAATGCCATAGGAATATACATTTTAATTAAGTTTATTATGTTTGTTTTATCAGTTCATTGTTCTTCATGCATTTTAAAAAATAAAAATCAAATTAACATTTTAGTAAAAAAATTTGAGGACCCCCAAGTTACCTCTCGTGGACCCCTGGGGGTCCAGGGACCCCAGTTTGAGAACCTCTGGTGTGAAGTGTAAGAGTGTGACAGAGCCTTCACATTCTGCAGTCTAAACGATATCACCAGATGTCACAGTCAGTGGGCGTAAATAACCCACAGCTACTACTGCATCATTTTAGCTCAATATTTGTGAGATGCATCAAATTATCTCCATTTTTATTTTTTATTTTTTTGTCAGTTAGCTGTGGTGGTCATCTTGAATCAGGTTGACGCTATAACTCTTGCTCTTACATCAGCTGAATCTTTTTCTCAGTAACGAGCTAAATCCGTTTACTTCATTATATGAAACATCATCTACAGTGCAGGGATATTCACAAGCACCTGTCTTCAGCCTGTATTTCTCTGCAGTTCAGGAACATGAGCGCGCTCACCGACGTGAGGTTAGCTGAGCTGCTGAAAGTCCTGCAGGTGAAAGGTGAAGACGCATGTTATGAATTCTACAGAGCGCTCCACATCCACGCTGAGGACGTCTACTCCAAGCTGCCCACTCGAGTCAGACACCGAGGTAACAACACCCACCAGAACCTCCCAGAGTGGCTGCATTTATTTATCAAGATGGTAAATAGTGCTAAAGTAGTGCAGCATGTAAAATCATATTTTTAAAAAATGTTTTTTTGTGTGTGTGTGTTTTTGTTAACACTCCTAAACCCATGTTCATGTTTCTGTTGAAATTTTACAAATGTGACCCATCACATCAAATGAGGATGAATATTTTTATAATAATGCATTTATTTAAAATATTTTAATAATAATAATAATAATAATAATAATAATAATAATAATAATAATAATAATAATAATAATAATAATAATAATATTATTATTATTATTATTATTATTATTATTATTATTATTATATTTGAAAAGTGCCTTTCAGGACACCCAAGGACACTTACAGCATTATATCATAGAAGAATGTGTGAAATTACAGAGACAAGCTGGCATGAGTAACAGAGCGTGGATTACAAATGAAGTTAAGATGGATGTGCTAATCTAAAGAGATGTGTTTTCAAAGCAGTCTTGAACACAGGAAGAGAGGTGGTGTTTCTTAGGTCAGGTGGTAGAGAGTTCCAGAGGAGAGGTGCAGAGCAGGTGAAGGCCCTGCTCCCCATGGTGGAGAGGCGGGCGGTGGGTGCTTGGAGGTTTTGAGAAGAAGAGGATCAGAGAGAGCGGGAGGGGATGGAGATGTGTACGAGGTCGGACATGTAAGGATGGGCAAGATGGTGGATAGCTTTGAACGTGAGAAGAAGAATTTTGGAGACGATGCGTGATTTGACTGGGAGCCAGTGGAGTTGCTGCAGGACTGGGGTGATGTGGTTATGGGAGGAGGTTTGGGTGATGACACGTGCAGCCGAGTTCTGGACCATCTGAAGCTTATGGAGGGATTTGTTGGGGAGGCCAAAAAGAAGAGAGTTACAGTAGTCAATCCGTGAGGTCACAAGACTATGGACAAGGATGGCTGTGGTGCGGGGTGTGAGAGAAGGATGGAGACGGTTGATATTTCTGAGGTGGAAGTAGGCAGACCGAGTAACATTATTGATGTGAGCAGTGAAGGAGAGAGTAGTGTCGAGGATGACACCAAGACTCTTGACCTGAGGGGAGGGGGTTAGCAGAGAGTTGTTGATAGGAATGAGGAGATTATTAGATTTTGAGAATGAATTTTTAGTGCCGACAAGAATGATTTCTGTTTTATTCAGTTGAAGGAAATTGTCTGAAAACCAGTGATTGAGTTCATTGAGACAGTCAGTGAGGATGGAGGGATGGTGTGTGGAGTTTGGCTTGGTTGACAGGTAGAGCTGTGTGTCATCGGCATAACAATGGAAACGGATACCAAATTTGCGGAAAATGTAACCAAGAGGAAGGAGGTAAGTAATGAAGAGAAGGGGTCCAAGGACAGAGCCTTGGGGCATGCCAGTGGAGGGGGATGACTCAGAGCAGAAGGATTTAATCTGGATGAATTGAGTGCGGTCTGAAAGAAAAGATTTGAACCAGTCAAATGCAGTACCTGAGATGCCAATGGATGTGAGTCTGTTGAGGATAATAGAATGAGAGATTGTATCAAAAGCAGCACTTAGGTCAAGTAGGATGAGGATGGACAGGAGACCAGAGTCAGCAGCAAGGAGAAGATCATTGGTGATTTTTATGAGGGCAGTTTCAGTGCATTGGTGGGGGCAAAAACCAGATTGAAACTCCTCATAAAGGTTATTGTTGGAAAGGTGAGAGTGGAGTTGACTGGCAACAACTTTTTCCATAATCTTGGAAATGAAGGGCAGGTTAGAGATTGGATGAAGATTACTGAAGTTACTTGGGTCGAGACCGGGTTTCTTGATGATGGGGGTAATGGCTGCAGATTTAAAAGCTGTGCGAACAATACCAGAGGTCAAGGAGGAGTGGATAATTGTGGTGATGATAGGGAGCAGACGGGAGGCAGGATTTAACAAGAGCAGTGGGGAATGGATCGAGCTGGCAGGATGAGGGCTTAGACTTGCTAATGATATCTGAGATGTCAGCGGCAGGGGGAGGGAGAAGACAGAGGTGGACGGATGGATGGGGGAGTTCAACTTGTGAGCTGCAAGGGGTGTTTGGGCCAAGGTGTTTGTGAATAGTAAGAATTTTTTCATTGAAGWAGGACATCAGTGAGTTACAAAAATCAGTGGACAACATGTGAGAGGGTAAAGAGTTATGAGATGAGACTGTACGGTTGAGGATAGAGAAAAGAGTCTGAGAGTTGCCAAAATTGGAACTGAGGATGTTAGAGAAGTAGCTGGATTTGGCTGGAGAAATACTCTCCTTATACTGTTTGATGTGGTTCTTGAAGAGTTCCTTGTGAATTGTGAGACCAGTTTTCTTATAGAGGCGCTCCAGCCTCTGACCTTTGGATTTCAATGAACAGAGTTCAGGAGTGAATCAGGGTGCAGTTTGAGAAGGAGACAGACCAGGTTTTTAACGGAGCGACAGAGTTAACGATGGTGGTGAGGCTGTTATTGTAGAAAGAGATAAGATCATCCAGGTTAGAAGAGTTGAAGGAGGAAAAGGTATTGTCAATATGGGAAAGAAGAATATCATGATTTATTTTCTTAATAATACAAAAGGAGAGAGAGCGTTGAGGTTTGATAGAAAAAAATTTAAGCTTGACACTAAAAGAGCAACAGGTGATCAGTAAATGGAAGTTCAGCAGAGGTACAGTTGAGGGAAGTGAGTCCTGAACAGCAGCGTAAGTAAGCAAGCAAGCAAGCAAGTTTTATTTATAAAGCGCCTTTCACAGAAATATATCGAAAAGGTGCTGTCCATTCATTAACAGCATAAAAATGGTGAAAAGAATAAAATGAAACAGAAAAACATAATTACACATAAGCAACGAAAATTGAAACATCAAATCAAGAATTAATTTCTAAAATTGTAAATCAAACACAAGGTCAATGCATGTCAAAATATACAATAATACACAAAAACATAATGAATGCGGGAGAGAAAATATGGCGTAAGTTCAATAGTAAAGAAAACAAAGATTAACGAAGCATTCTCAATGGAGGTAGGCTGGTAGTAATGGTGAAATGGTTAGCTAAGCGCTTGAGAGAAAAAGTGAGATTTTAGGAGTGTCTTGAAAGAGACAATGTTATTAATAGAGCGCAGATTAAAAGGGAGTTCATTCCAGAGCCTGGGGGCCACAGAGGAGAAGGCACGGTCACCACGGGTCATGAAGCGAGTGAGGAGAACCATAAGGAGATGTTGATCCTGTGAGCAGAGGTCCCGTCTGGAGTTGTAAGGGGAAATGAGACTTTTAATGTATTTAGGTGCTTGGCCATGAAGAGCTCTGAAGGTGAGGACCAGGATTTTGAACCGGATTCTGAAATGAACCGGAAGCCAGTGAAGTTCTGCTAGGATCGGGGAGATGTGGGTGAATTTGGAGATTCGGGTTAGGAGTCTTGCTGCTGAGTTTTGGGCAAGCTGAAGACGATTTAACTGTTTCTGGTTAAGACAGGTGAACAAGCTATTACAATAATCTAAGCAGGTAGAAATGAARGCATGAATTACCATTTCCAAATCTGAAGTGGACAGCAGGGGCCGGAGTTTTGAGATATTACGGAGCTGAAAATAGCAAGTGGAAACCAGGTTCTTTATGTGTTTATCTAGTGATAGATCTGAGTCAAGATTTACTCCCAGGTTGTGCACATTCTGCTTAGCAGTTGAACTCAAAGAGCTGAGATGTTCTTTTATCTTAGGGATTTTATTTTCAGGGGCCAGGATCAGTGTCTCTGTCTTACTGAGGTTTAAAAGTAACAAGTAGTCAGACAGCCACTGGTTGACTTTTGTGACACATTTTATAAGAGAGATGAGCTTGTGGGTGGTGGAGTCATTAAAGGAGCAGTATAACTGCAGGTCATCTGCACAGAAATGGTAGGAGATGTCAGGAAAATATTTGATGACCTCAGTCAGGGGGCGGATGTTGAGCAGGAATAGAATTGGGCCCAGGATGGAACCCTGTGGAACTCCGCAGGTGAGTTTGGCTTAATCAGAGAGAGATTGACCTAATAAGACTGAGAGAGAGGGGTCTGAGAGGTATGATTTGAACCAGTCTAGCACCACCCCGGTTATCCCTATGTCTTTCAGGTTTCGAAGGAGAATAGAGTGATCGACAGTGTCAAAGGCTGAGGACAGGTCCAGTAAGAGGAGGACAGAGTACATGCCTCCAAGGTGTGACCCTTTATGTGGGTGGGAAAGATTTTTGCTATAATTACCCTATCTTCTTTTTAGCAGTAGCTACAAAAAATAAGATTTTGAGCAGAAAAGCCTTAAGTTTTTGTCATTTTTTTCCTGCGAGCTAGCAATGTCTTTTTTCCTTTCCAGCTGGTAAATCTTAATGTCCAAATTTAGTTTGAGGTTACCTCTTTAAAATTAAATCAAAGTTCCTCATTAGAGTAAACTAAAATTAAGATTCAGACAGTTCTCTGGAATCACTCATGATACCAGGATGATCCAGGTATCAAAATGTAGTTTAAAAAGCAGGAATCTGAAAAAGTGCTCAGGTCTTTTTGACCAAATTTTACTTAATCCTTAGTTTGATGTGATGGGTCAAAAAAGGTTATTGAGTTTTAACCCCAGACAGCCCATTTGGTCCTGTGGTAGTGTTCAACTATCCTGTATACCAGCATGTTTTAGCTGCTGAGCTGCCCATATATCCCAACTAAAGAGCATTTGTCTCTGATAAATCACTAATTCTCCTGTGATGGACTTGCAATTTGTCCAGAGTGTACCCCGTCCCTGGCACTGTGACTACTGGACATGGGCACCAGTGTCCCCCGTGACCCTAGAAAAGGAATAAATGGGTATAGATAATGGATGGATAATCACTAATTCTGTTTTAGAGACGACTGACTCAAAAGGTTCTGATGAAGTGATGGTCGCTCAGGAGCGCTACGTGCTCAACGACAGAGGTGAGTCTAATGAAAGTCTTTGAGCAATCGATGGGTTTTCTATTTCATATGACTGGTTTAACAAATACTGTGCAGGCGGTCAGCACAGAGCAGGTGTGAATGATGAGAATTTGACAGCACACTGCATGGACTGAGTAGTGATTACTGATTGAATGCAGCTGGGTAATTACTGATGGATTGCAGGTGTGGTCAGCAGAGCAGTGAGATGTGGTAAAACCTGACTTCAACACTGAAGTGGTAACAGAAAACATGGTTAATGACAAGAAAACACAAAAACTGAAATGTTTTAATATAATGAACTGAAAAACAAGAAAATAAGAGCAATTCAAATAGACAGAACAAATACAAAATAACACAAGTTGTATTAGAGCTCCGGCTCTAGAGGTAAAACTGTAGTAAAGTTTGATGGAGTCTTTTCTACAGTATCCTTACAGTTTTATGTGTGTAAGTGAGGTGCTTCTGTATTCCCTCCCTGATCCACAGAAAAGCTCTATAAGCTCACCTAAGCCCATCTAGTGGTCTGTTGAACCCCCCACCCCACCCAGACACCCTCCCCTCCGCTCATGTCATCAGAATGTGTGCCCGTCTGGTCTGCTCCACCATTCATCATCCCATTACCTCCAGAGCTCTGGCTTTGTGGCTCAGTAAAGCTCACATGTGAAGCAGTTTCCTCTGCCCTGCATTCCTGTGAACAGTCGGGGGGGGGAATCCTCTGGGTCAAAAGTCACCGGCAGGGAAATGGGTCATTAGAGTGAAACGTATCGAAATCCTTAATAATACAGTTTAAACTGGGACTCTGACTAAAATTAAAACACAAGAATTCCTTAAAGAGCTTGTGACATCAAGTTTTTGTAATAAATGTGAATGTGTTTTTTTGAAAAGATAACATTGATAACATGTTGCAAAAAAAATTCATGCTGCTGAGGCAAACAGTGGTTGAAATACTTGTATGTGAAGAAACAGGAAGTGATGTCAAAGGGGAATGACAGAATGTGAACAGAACGTTGCTACAATGGCCGACAATAGAGGCTGTAGAGAAGAATCGGATGTTTCTTTAGATTATTTTTTTAACAGAAAGATGAAGACGAGTCAGAGTTCAAATAATATTGTTTCAATAAACAAAGACCAGGGATTTCTCTTTATTAGAATTCCCCTTTGATGTCACTTCCTGTTTCACTTTGGCTGAGCCTAGTTCAAAAGAAAATATGCCAGTTATGTGACAAAATGGGTAAAATTGTGTGTATTATGCCAAGTTTCTTAAATAAAGAGGTTTTCTTTGACTGTAATTGAAGTATACAGCGGGTAAAATAAGTATTGAACACGTCACCATTTTTCTCAGTAAATATATTACTAGAGGTGCTAACG